CACTTGAGACAGGCCAAAGTGCAGGCCTCTCCTTCCTCAGCCTGGCTTGCTCATCTCAATGGTTATGGGGGGGGGGGTGCCAGGGTGGATGTGTAGAATTTAACTTACAATGGCCCACTCAGAGGAGCATTTCCTTTCCCTCTTCAACTATTCATATGCAAGACTCTAAACAAACACCTCAGGTGACAGTCACAAAAATCCATCCAGAAGAGGTGCCCTGTGAGTCAGCTCTGAAAAGCCAAGTTTCTTGCAGCGTAACTAGTCCCTTTTAAGTTATAACAGTGTCTCTACTGAATTTCTAAAGGAGAATTTCCAAGTCATTATACATGCCCCATGGTCTCATCGACACTAAAGAACTTTTGTGCCCAACATGACTGTTACCAACACACCAGCCTTCCTGCCTCTACACAACGACCCTCAAGTCATGTCCCTCAAGCTCGGGGTGTGACAAAGACATCTCTGCACTGAGTCCTTTGGCTTTTTGTCCCAAATTTTGTCCGTCCACACTAAATTAAAAGTGTGTAACTGGGCCAACCTGAAAACCCTGAGAATTCCCTGGCAGCCCAGTGGTTTGGGCTCCTCAATCCCCCTGCAGGAGGCATGGGTCTGATCCCTGGCTGGGGAACTAAGATCCCACATGCCACACAGCACAGCAAAAAAAAATTTTTAAATAACCATCTTTCCACCCAAGAGACTGTTCTCAAGTATCTCTCCATCTAACATCTAAGAAACCTTGCTCTGCTTGTAATAAAAATGCTCCTTATTCCTCTCCAATCCAAGAGACTCCATGTTGAAAATGGAGCTGAAGGGGGAAAAAAATTCCTCCTTCCAGATAGCTTTGCCCCCACAGATTGGTACATATTACACAATGTTTTACATGATGCAATTTGTCTCTTGAAGACGTTCTCTATTCTTCAGCTTAAAAGATCAGCAGATCAAGATACTTGTTACTTCTAACTTACAAGTGGAGAAACTTTAAACACCTTGTTTAAATGTTGAATTCATGTTGTGACATGGAACTAATTTTGTGTAACACTACTGCTTAATGGAAAGGAAGGAGGCAACTTTAAAAAGAAATAGATGGCAAAAATAGTGGACAAGTTCCTCCACATCATCTCATTATCTGATGAATGAGATGTAGCACAGAGAGTACGGGGCAAAGACAGAGGTCAAGTGTCACTCCTTATCACAAATCATCTTACATATCTTGTTCTTACTCAACATGCCTTAAAGTATTCCACAAACAATCAAGCGAATTTATTTCCTCTATAACTCAAGATCCAAGACCATTCTCTCATCTGGCAATCATCTGGCAATCATCACCCATTAGACACTTATAGGTATGACCAACTTCCTTTCATTAAAATAATAGCAAATAATGGTGTTTCATCAGTTCTGGTGCTTCTGAACTGAATTTGTACGCTAGCCATATTGTTCTCTAAACTCCCCTAAGCTCTGGATTCCATTATTAACCACAGAAGGGGCACAGATAAACCAGGAAAAAAGGATCCAATTCAACCAATATTTTCCAAGCACTCTGGGTCCAGGACAACACTACAGTCACAGAAGCACACGGTGGAAAATTTCAGGTTTGCCCAAAGGCCCTCACAGGAGGGCCCAGGGCGCCAGCACACACAGTGAAACAATGAACTATAGTCACTCAATCTGGTCCGACTCTCTGCAACCCCATGGACTAGCCTGCCAGGCTCCGCTGTCCAAGGGCTTCTCCAGAGGAGAACTCTGGAGTGGGCTGCCATTTCCCCACCTCTCTTGGTGACAAAGATAGGATGAAAATTTCAAAGGACACAAAATCACATGCTGCCGTAAAAAAAAATCACCATTCCAAAGACATGTGATCTTTGCACCTGAGTTTAAGAAACCTAAAATACCTGGAGTATTCTGACATACAAATAGAGCCACTGCCTCACAGCCAAATGCAATGATTGCTGCTTTTTATTTAGAATAGTCAAGAAGTCCTTACAAATAGGTTAACAATTTTTAGAGAAAACCAAACTATGCCTAAATAAGGAATAGATTTTGAAGTAAGGTTTAGAATATAAATTAGACAAAACCTTCTCTACTTTGATATATACTGCAACACTTATAAATTTAACTTTTTAGTCTTTTTTCCAGAAACTCCCCTCACTTTAAAAATGAAGTATTTTTAAAATTTACTTTTTTCAGTTCAGAAATAAAGTAAAAATTTTACTCTGATAAAAGAATGGATAGGCACAAGCTTGCCTTCTACAGCACTCTCCAACATTTACTTAAGTAGGATATTGAAACAAAAATAGTCAACTGTTTTTTGTTTGTCTCCCTAAAAATAAACGTTTGAAAAACACTTTATAATCTATAATAGAAGCACCAACTTTTTCAACTTTTTTTTCTTGTTGACAAATCCAGTAAGCCACTTTCTTCAATCAGGCTTTAAAACTGTCTTTCTATGCACTATTCTTACCTTCAACAACTTCTATTTTCTTCATTTATCTCACTTTTTTTAATTTTGAAGTTCTCTTAAATTCTATTCACCAAGAGAAACCACAGCACTTCTTAAATCTTGCCACTGATCCCACCCTAATTCACAAATAAGCCTGCAGTTAACCTGCTCTTGCCACTGGGTGGCACCCTGGACGAATTTTAAGCAGACCAGGTTTATAACACAGAACACCGGCCTACATTCTAGATCATTTCCAAGGAAGTGAAAAGGCAAAAACAAAAAACACGCTTTCTAAAAATTCTGTTAAGATATCAAACGACTGACTACGTTCACTTACTTCTTACTAACAGACACCAAGAGTGACATTTAATCATCTTTAAGCGTTAACCAAGGTAGCAGCAGCTGACCTTGAACATGCAGTCACATAGACTGCACCCCAGTGGAAGGTGAGGTGACCTCTACATCACTAAGCTGACACGCTGAGGATTACACTGCGATCCTGAAAAACCAAACTGAAAATAACTGTGTCTTCTTTAAAAGTATGAAAGGTACAGACGCATTCCACCCCAAACCTGAGTTCAGGTGGAAAATGTCACTGCTGGTGAGGAGCACAATTCTGTTTGGAGATGTCCAAAACAGAGTCAATACAAGGGGAAAAGGTCCTACCCTGAGATCAAACACCTAAAAATTCAATGGGTTTGCCTTAAGAGTAAGGCTATTGTTTGCACTCACTGCAGGCAGGCACACCACAATTCCCTATTCTCTACAAAGTATCCAGAGTATTACTCAAACCGTACTCTCCACCCAGCCCTCCAGGTAAGTCTCTCTCCTGCAGCCAGAAATAATTCTCAAACCTACCACTTACAGGTCAAGAAAATACGAATTTAAAACAAAGATATTTTTTAAAGGGCGCTGAACACATGTCAAATTTTTGGAAAAATCCTTAAATTCCGAACTTTCTCTTATTGTACAGCACTACACACCAAGCCTGCTTAAGCCAATTTCTAAAACCAACATCTCATCCCCTTTTGTTCTCCTCCCACTTCAAGTCATCCACACCTACAAACGACTAACCCAGCCAATTTACTCCCCAAGTTCATACTCTGCATAACCCCCCAAATTCCACAGTTCCTTAGCACGCAAAAGGACACACTCATAATGGTTCAGCTGGTAAAGAAACTGCCTGCAATGCAGGAGACTTGGGTTCGATCCCTAGGTTGGGAAGATCCCCTGGAGAAGGGAAGGGCTACCCCCTCCAAGTATTCTTGCCTGGAGAATTCCATGACAGAAAAAACTAGCCGACTAGAGTCCATAGCATAGCAGAGTCGGACACGAAAGAGGGACTAACACACACAAACACACCCATAAGGTCTAAGGTCTCTGACTGGAAACAAGAGAAGTGTGAATTAAACTTCCCAGACAGAATCAGGGGGAGGGGTGGTCTAGAAATAAGTTGAGGAAAGAAGTACATAATGCCTTTTACAAATCAAGATAACATTGATTCGCTTAACTACTAGGAAAAAAGCGACTAAAACATGAACAAGCAAGTTCAAATGATAAGAGTTTCTCTTTCCTTTTTTGGTCATTCAGCCTAACTTTTCCACTAAATCAATTAGTCGCCTTAAAATATTCTAGTCATAAAGTCTTAGTACGAATCCACAACTGCAATAAAAACGCTGAGAATACAAAGGGCGCCGCCCCGCTCATGCTTGCCAGGCAGCCCCCTCGGGTTGGTACGGAGACCTTTCCACAAAGGCCGTGTCCTTTCCGTGGTTCGTGAGTTAGCAGTGAGATTTAAACGTCTTGACTGGCGACCCACACACACTCTGAAAACGATTCGCGAGACAACACAAGTTTGCAATTTCCACTTCTTGCGTCAATTCTTTCCTTACTTGGGCAAAACTTGACAGAAACTTCAGTTATATAAACCGCCATACAACCTGAACAGAAACCAAGCGAACCGATTTTTTCGGTGAGCTGAAAGCCAAACACTTCATTTTGACCGTCCATCCACACGCTTCGGAGGAGCCGGCGGGGAGTTCCGGACAGGCGGCCCCCGCCCGCGGCCCCCCACTCCTCCCGCAAACCCACCTCCCTCCTGGGCTCAGGGACGTCCCCGCCGGGCTTTCAACACTTAGACCCTCAGCCTCCCACGCGGCAGCTCCCTCGCCCCCTTCCCTGGCCGCTGCTCGGCTACTCCAGCCCGAGCCCGCCGCTCGGGCCAGGCACCCGCCCGGCCCCAACCGCCGGCGCGGGGCCCCCAGGGCGCCCGGAGGAGGGGGCCGCCGGGACAGGCGGCGGCGGCCGGGAGGAGGAGGGGGAGGAGCGGTGAGCGGTGAAGGGGACGAGAGGACAGGCCGGAGCCCACCCCGACACGCGACCCCCAAGCCGGGCCCGCGGCCTGCCGCCGTCCCCGGCGCGCCCGGCCCGGCCCCACACCAAACCGCGTCTCCAGCCCTCAGGCCCCTTCCCCGAGTCCTCTGCCCCCGGCCCCACACGCCGCAGTCGAGGCCCGGGTCAGGTGGGCCGCCGGGCCCTCCCCCCGGCCGCTGGCGGCCCTCACCGAGGACGCAGGAGCCGGCGGCGGAAGGTGCGCTGGGGCTACGGCCGGGGCTCCTCGGATCCGGCACGGCGGCGCGGTGGCGGAGGCGGCGACGGTCCTCGCGCTTTCCTTTCTCTCCTTTCTCCCAACAACAAACAGGAAGTGCGTCAGGCGGCGGCGGCGCGGCGGCGGGACTTCCGCCCGGCCCTGAGGCCGCGCGTGCGCAAAGCACCGACCGCCCCGACCCCCCTCCTCCCCCGCCTTCCCGAAAATTCTGCGCGGCCCGGGACGCAGCAGGAAGCGCGCATGCGTAGCCGAGGCCCCGTCGCCGGCAGCAGCGCGGCTCGGCTTGTGGGTTCCTGGCGCGGGGTCAGTGTCCGTTGGGACCTGAGGCGTGGGCGCTGTGGGTTTTGGTCTTCCCGCCCCGGATTCGGCGGAGTCATTTCTTGTGTTTCTTCAGCCCTCCCTGTCTTACATACCTGGCTCTGGGCAGGTGACCAGTTAGCAAAAGAAAATGTGTTTACTCTGAGTCAGTTCTCGGTCCCTTCCTTTAGAAGGTTACAGAAGCCTCGCCGGGCGGGGCGGCTCAGCGGTGTTGGGTTTTCGCGTCTCCTGATGAAGCGGAGATGACCTCGGCGGGGCTGGAATTTCCCTCAGTACCGGCGCCGCACGCAACCCTATCTGCCTGCAGGCCCGCCGGTTTCTTTCCCTCCGGGGTGACAGTGCTATCGAGCGACGAGCGACGTCTCACATTTAATGAGACCCCACCTGAGGCGAGCGGGAGCTAACCTGGACATGCAGGCAGCAAGAGACGTGGAGTCTAGTGGGCTAGCCACAAATAACTTGGTCTTCCTTCAAAAATACGTATTAAAACATCTGTCCATGCAGTGAACTGTGTCAGGAGGAAACCAAACGGTACCAACAAAGCGCCTCCCGGCGTCCCAGGGGGACAAACACCCTGAATGTTAGCCAATACTCCATATGTAAAGAGCAGTCTGTGAAACAACAGGGAAGATCTTCAGAGATGAAAGACATTGTACACTAAGTGTTAGCTCAGATGGCGGTGCTGCCGGACAGACTTTACTGGAAGAAGATTCTGAGAGGGAACCGCGAGGACTTGCATTTGCAGGCGCGTTGGGGGAAGGGCCTCGGGCTGTTAGCCTGGTGGAGCCGGGCCAGGACCAGTCTGCAGTTTGTAGGCTGGAAGGAAGAGCGGGGAGACTCGCTCCCCCTCTGTAGAACGGGGACATGGACTTCCTGGGAAGGTTCGTGGTCTGCGCTGAGCTCTGCCTATCACATAGCGATAGTCAGGAAATCGTAGCTCTTCTGTGTCGAGAAACTTGTGCCTCTTCGAGAAACTGATAAAAGGCAGGGACTTCTCCCCAGCCAAACGTGCAAGTGATAGGAGAAAATTTGTAGACCCGGCACACACGCACACAGGCAGCCTGCCGAGTCCAGGAAACAAAGGTGAAGTTCCTCAGTGACAGCTTGGCAATTTTTACTATACTGAAAAACTCATCTCTGATGGAAGAAAAACAGTTGTAAATAATTTTCCCTGAGGCAATAAATGCAAGAACAGAAAATGAAAGAAAAAAGAACATACAAGTTTGCTGATACCGACTTTGGAGATAATCTGTTCCTCCTTATCAGGAATACTTTGCAAGTCATAAAAGTAATAATGTAATTATGCTTACTAACATCGAATATATCCAACTTGCATTATTGCTCTCCTTCTTGTAAAATTGTATTTGCGGGGACGGGGGTTGGGGAATGGGGATGGGGCGGTGCACATATAATTTTCTGTCTTTGCTTTTGAGTTCTTGGGTATAAGGAAACTCCCTATAATGAAATACAAAAGAGAAAAACAAATACAGGTTTTATTAACATGTATGTTCTCAGTTGTGTCCCTCTCTTTGTGACCCCATGGACTGTAGCCTGCCAGTCTCCTCTGTCAATGAGATTTCAGGCAAGAATAAGTGGAGTGGGTTGCCATTTCCATCTCCAGGGATCTTCCCAACCCTGAGGTGGAACTGGAGTTTCCAGCACTGCAGCCTGTCTTTACCACTGCCGCTTGGGAAGCCCCTCAGAGGGAGGAAGATGCATATACAAATGGAAATTTCCCTTACAAATGCAAATTTCCCCCACAAAAGGGTAGAGTTTAATTCTGTTCTCAATTTCTCTTGCTCATGCAATTTCTCAAAAATAAAGGAAGTTGCCAAATAATCTTTATGCCCAAGAGTCATACCTAGGATGGCATACTCTACGAGTTCAATACACTCACGGAAAGCTGGAAGAATGTTCAGTAAAGAGTATTTCACATAATTTCTCACTTTTTTGTTTTCTTTTTTAAAAAAAAATTTTTATTTATTTGGCTGTGCCAGGCCTTACTTGTGACACGCCAGATCTTTAGTTGCAGCATGCGGGATCTCGTTCCTTGACCAGGGATCGAACCCTGGCCCTATGCACTGGGAGCTTGGAGTCTTAGCCACTGGGGAAGTCCCCTCACTTTCTTTTTCCTGATTTGAAGTATTGTTTGAACTTTTGTGTTGTGTGTAAAATATTTTTATTTTACTATTACTTTTCAAAACTAATAAAATCATATCTATGAAGTTGAAATCATGTGTCTTCCATAACTGCATAGTACAGTGGTGTGAAGTGGTGAGAGATTGCACACAGCTGTGGGATAAACATGAGTATGTTTTCGTTTATCCATCTCGTGAGCATATGTTGAGCACCTACTGTCCACCAGGACTCAAAGAAGGCAGGACTCTTCCTCTGGAGGACCTTTGCATCCATTGATGAAGACAGGTCCAAGAGCCAGAGCTTGGAGGGTGGAAGGCTACAGGCTCCAGGTCCCTGAGGAGAGACATGCAAACCAGGATGGGGGTGGGGGTGGGAGCGGGTGGGGCAGGGCACAGATGAAGAGAAGCTCCTCAGGAGAAGCCAGTCCCTTTTTGTTTGCTTTGTCTTTTTTAATTTTTACAATGTTGTGTCGGTTTCTGCCCTCGCCCTCTGCGATGGCCCACACTGTGGAGAGTGCTTCTCTCTGAATCTGAGTAAATACACTTCTTACCTATCAGAAACACAACATGCAAAAGGAAAATGAAAAGTCTTCATCATTCAGTCGTGTCTGAGTCTTTGTGACTCCAAGGACTGTAACCCACAAGGCTCCTCTGTCCACGGGATTCTCCAGGCAAGAATACTGGAGTGGATAGCCATTCCCTCCTCCAGGGGATCTTCCCCATCCGGGGATGGAACCCCGGTCTCCTGCATTGCAGGCAAATTCTAATCAACCATAATTATACACATAGCCCCTCCCTCTCGAGCTCCCCGTCTTCCCCCCACCCCACCCCTCTAGGTCGTCACAGAGCGCCAGCCTGGGCTCCCATCAATGACCCACTTTACACACGCTAGTGTATGTATGCTGATGCTATGTGCCCCCCGCCTCCCTCCGCCGTCTGGGTCAGCTCTCTACATCTGCGTCTCCATTCAGAAGCGGCCGTCTTGAGTGAATTCTGAAAGACCAGGAGGAGTTAATGTTTGAAGCCCTGTGTGGGTGGAGAGAACTCCAGACAGAGGAAATCCTTTCCAAGGGTGACCAAGAAGCTGATTGAATGACTGACGAGTACTCTTTCTAAAACTAAAGCTGTCCCACACTGGAGGAAGGGTGGCAGGCCTCTCATTTCAGAAGGAAACCTCCTTTGTGTCTCTGCAAAGGTACGGATGTCAACAAGGCCTAGCAGAGAGAGGCCAACTGGAGGGCTGCATGACGTGGTGCCACTGTGGAGAAGAGCATCTTTGCAAAAGCTGTGACTGTTTCAACTGCAGAAGGTGGACAGGAAGGGAGGGCTGGGGTGGGGGTAGAGGCCTGGTTGGGAGGGTGGCTGGAAGGGGCCACCTCGGAGAAACGACACCACAGGGAGCCGGGCACCTGTGATCATGAAGAGCTGCTTCCCAGCATTTCGTTCCTTCTGTGACGTCTCAGGGTTCCAGAGCCGTGTGTCAGCCTTTGCAGCCTGCTGTTCTTTCTGTGTGAGAAAGGTCCTCTTGAGGAATGAAGCAGAGGCTGGGCCTGTGTTCAGAAAACAGTGACCACGGGGCGGATCCCAGCCGGGCGGGAGACCCTAGAAGAGGAGCCCAGTGAGGGGACAGGTTCGGAATTTCTTGCAGTCGTGTTATTATTTTTTAATAGATGTACTCTCTTTTTTTAACCATGTTTTCAGAATGATTGGTTGAGTGTAGCCGGCCTAGGTCTCCGTTGCTGCTTGGGGGCTTTCTCTAGCCTCTGTGAGCGGGGGCTACTCTCCAGTTGTGATGCGAGGGCTTCTCACGGTGGTGGTTTCTCTTGTTCCGGAGCACGGGCTCTAGGACTGCAGGCTCAGTAGTTGCGGCCCTTGGGCTTTGTTGTGGGATCTTCCCGGACCAGGCATCGAACTGAGTCCCCTGCATTGGCAGGTGGGTTCTTATCCACTGGACACCAGGGAAGTCCTTGCAGTCACTTTAGAAGGAGACTCAAATTATTTCACTGGACAATGGAAGGAAACGGTGATCGTGAAACCTTGGAAATGCTTTTCGGTTATAGAAGAAAAAGAAAAATCTCGAGCACCTGTGCCTGCTGAGGTGTGGGGATGAGGGAAAGGAAAACTCGATTCCACACGTGAAGGTTCTGACCAGGAGGAAGAGCTGGTGTGGGTGAAGAAGACAGAGTGCAGATGTTGGCTGTGGGGAGAAAGGGGACCATGGGGTCCACTGAAAACCCCCAGCAGGCGATGTCACCAGTTACCCAGGCCTTCCAAGACTTGTCAGAGCTGCTCATCAAGGTGTAAGAGCCTCATTGCCATGGGAAGCGAAAGAGCCGCTGGCCAAAAAGCTGGCGGTGGTGTGAACCTAGGAAACAGTTAACATCGTCAAGGAAGAAAAGAGGGGTGGGAGCTGAGACACGTTCATGGTTCGCAGGTCGGTGGCCTTTTCTGGAGTAATTGCAGGAGACTGGATTACAGCCCGGTGCTTGCTGGGAAACCCTGGCAACATTTGTCCCCAGGAGAGAAGGAAGGAAAGAAGATACCCAGAAAGAAAAGGTCACGGGAAGGCCTGGTGCTTACCTGGCTGTGTTGTGTTTGTTTCAGCAA